TGCTCATCATCATCATCATCATCACTAAGTACTGCCGCCTGTGCTGCTTGCTCGACAAGACTGTGAGAGATGGCTGGCGCCTTTGCTGTCGTCGCCGGGTCACCTGCCCCGACTTGTCGTCGCCGTCGTCGCCGTCTCGTCGCTGTCACTGCACACGCACACGCACACGCACGCGCGCACATGCTACTTACGCACACACGCCCTCGCCCGCCCTCTCTCCCTCACCCACGCACATACGCACGGCCGGCGTGATGCGCGGAGGCGTCGAGCGGGTGCAAGGAGCGTCTCGCAGCCGTTGGCATGGCTGTCGGCGCTAGAATGTCCAATGTCGCAATGGACAGGGGCGGCAGGGCGGCTTTAGCTTGCGATGGTCGGGCCCAGCGCAGGCGAGCTAGCCCCCTCGCTGTGCCTTGGAAACTGGCTCTTTTCCTCGATGCCCCATAAGATGCTCGATCGCCGATACATCTGTATCTCCCTCTGCTCTTGCTCTGCGTCTCCTCCCATCTCTCCGCCCTCTGCCCAGCGTCCTGCCACTGCCACGCTCCGCCGGCCTTTTTTCCGCTCTGCTCGGCCTTTTTTGTTTTTCGGCTACAGCTGCCCCTCAGCCCTGTCCTCCGCCAGTCACGGGACCACGCTCGCCTCGCTCTCCCACGTCCCTCTGCGCGTTCAGGACAAAGGTCCCTGCATCCGGCCCACGCCCGCCAACTTTTTGTGCCTCGCCGCCAATCGCCACTGCGTCACCAACAACCCCGTCGTCCCTGGCCCGCTGTCAACCGCCACCACCCTGCTGCACTGCTCCCAAAAAAGGCCCTTCTTATAACGGTTGCATCGCAAACCGTTCTCCGAGTACAGAGGCCTGTGCCTGCCCCTCCCGACCGTGTCTGTGTGCCTGTCTGTGTGTGTGTGTGCGCGCGTGCTGCCAAATCACTTTGCCTCACTTGGCCCCCCCTTGCCTACGTCATAACGGCAATCCCCACCCTATCCACACCTACCTCTTCAGCCACACGCACACACACTGCCGCTCAACACGCCCATTCCGACTACTACTTGCTGTTTGGCCCTAACCCCCTCCCCTAATTTCATGCCCCTTCGTTCTTCCTCTCCGCCCTCGAGTTGCTTCGTTTCTTTTCCTTCCCACGTTCACGTCTCGTTCTGACGCGTGCGCACGGTCGCACGCCATGTCCACACCTGTCCTGTCGCCACGCCCGCGCGGTCCCTCACACTCACATACATCTTCTCGCCCCCGCGGCTCGGGATCGACACCAATGACCAGGCCAACAAACCCAATGCACTCGTCCAACACCCTCCCGCCGCTAACCCCTCGCATGAATGGCATCGCAAAGACGCCCAGCCATGTCGCCTCACATAAGCCAAGGGAGCCATCCACACCTTCACCAAACTACTTTGGCCTTGCCGTCAGCAATACCGACCACTTCTCCTCGAGCGCTGCACAGCACATCCGTGGTAACTGGAGTCCGCCTAATTCCAATGTACGCTCCACAGCCGCTGCCTCTCCAAGGATCATACCTGTCGAACAAAACCCCGAGTTTGAACAGTTTAAGAAGCAGTCGGAAAACAGCCGCACATTTGCACTTGGCAGCTTTGATTTTGCATCGCCCGGCCTGAAAGCTGCATCCAACAACTCCTTCTTCGCCAACTTCGACTCCTCGCAGCTATCGTCTTCACAGTCAATGCCTCCGCTCGAGCGAACAGACAACAAGAGCGATACAAGCGACGACCAGGATTTATCGCCCAAGCCACGCTCGCCCAAGCGCATGCTATCCGAAGAATCCTCTCTATTTCCCGACCGACCGCGACGAAATTCGCCCGCTAGTTTCGACGGCCCTGGGCGCTCAGATGCTGTGGCACAGTTTGCTGAACCGCGCGTGCCACGGCCATCACTGCCCTACAATCAATCATACATCTCACACCTTTCAAAGTCGAGCCGCTCCGAGACACTACCTGCAACTTTTGAGGAAGGATCTAGCACGGATGGCCCTACTATGACGACCCCCCAACACGTTGTCAACATATTACAAGCATCAGCCGAAGAAGTACTTCTCCTCGATCTCCGTGTTTCGACGCAATACGCAAAATCTCGCATCACAGGCGCCCTAAGTTTATGTATCCCCACGACCTTGCTCAAGCGTGCATCTTTCAATGTCCAAAAACTTGCTGAAACATTCAAACAAGACGACCAAAAGGAGCGTTTCGAACGGTGGAGAAGCTGCAAGCATATCATTGTCTACGATGCCAATTCCTCGCAGCTCAAGGATGCAACGGCGTGCGTCAATACTCTCAAAAAGTTCACCACCGAGGGATGGTCGGGCGGTACGTTCATCATTCGTGGGGGATTTCAGGAATTCTCGGCAAGGTTCCCGTCTTGGATCACGTCTCAGGGCTCGGGAAGTCCAACGTCTGGAACGGCCGCTCTCAGCCTCAACTCTGATCTGCCGGCTGTCGCACCTGTTATTGGCGGCTGCCCCATGCCTGCAACACAGAACGCAGCAAATCCTTTCTTTGGCAACATTCGGCAAAATATGGATTTGATCGGCGGTGTCGGGCAAATGCCCGTGAAGCTGCCTGCAGGCATGACCCAGTCAGTTCAAGAGGATCTCCCTAGGTGGCTGCAAGCAGCCTCGAAACCCCAAGACAAGGGCAAGATCGTTGCCGAGCGTTTTCTGCAGATTGAAAAGCGCGAACAGAAGCGCATGCAAAAGGCCCTGTCTGGCCAAGTCGTCTACGATGCGCCCTCGTCCTCGGGCGCCAGTCCGTCTGAACACATACAAATTGCGGGAATCGAGAAGGGATCCAAGAACCGCTACAACAACATCTGGCCATATGAACACACACGCGTCAAGCTTGAGGGTGTCGCCGAGGGAAGCTGTGACTATGTCAATGCCAACCACGTCCAAGCCGCATATTCCAATAAGCGTTATATTGCAACGCAGGGTCCTATTCCGGCTACCTTCAAAGTAAGTGGTTTGCTGACACGAGTGCATGCTACCAGAAAGTTGACTAATTGTTTGTTCAGGACTTTTGGAACGTGGTATGGCAGCAAGACGTTCGCGTCATTGTTATGCTTACCGCCGAGCAAGAAGGCGGACAGGTCAAGGCTCACAACTACTGGTCCGAGAAGCAATACGGGTCGTTGCATCTCAAAAGTCTTGGCGAACGCAAGGCATCTCTAGAGCCGTCCAAGATCCACCGTCACAGGGAGCAGTCCAGACCGCCAATCGGCCAGCGCCGGTCAACCAACCCGCCCAGGCTTGCCAACTTCACTGCGGAAGCAACCGCCGCACCCACCAGTCAGGAGCAGCCGTACGTCACTGTTCGCAAATTCACGCTCTCAAACGATGACGAGCCGTTTGCGCGCATGCGTGAGATTACTCAGCTTCAATATTCTCACTGGCCCGATTTTGGTGCACCAGCCCATCCCGCCCATCTTTTGGGTTTGGTTGAGCAAACAGATGCTGTCGTGCGCTCCGTCAACGGAGGCTCACCTTCACAGCCCGACCCGCCTAACACACGCCCTATCCTTGTACACTGCTCTGCCGGATGTGGACGTACCGGCACATTCTGCACCGTAGACTCGGTCCTGGACATGCTTAAGCGGCAACGACAAGCTCGCCATACAAGGCAGACCAACAACAATTCCAACAACAAAACATCCGAAAAGGAAGTAAAAGACGACGAATGGGTCAACAACGAAGACATTGACCTGATTGCCAAGACAGTGGAAGATTTTCGCCTCCAGCGTCTCAGCATGGTGCAGAGTTTGCGACAGTTTGTGCTCTGCTATGAGAGCGTCATGGAGTGGCTTGTGGAGCAACACCCCAAGTCTGCGTAGAGCGCGACAACACCAATCGTGGCCTGGTATGACGGGCAAGACGATTGTTTACCCACAATTACGACATGGACATGAGAATACGAATTTGAAATTTGGTGATGAGGGAGCAATGGGCGGCGCATGCAATCTTCTTGTTCATCTGGGTCGTGGCAAAGGCAAAGCTCATTGGGAGGCGTTTTTTCTCTCGTCTTGTCTTGTCTACTCTTCTCTCTTCGCGTTCTTTCTTGTATCGGTGCATTACCATTGCATTACTCGGTTAAACAAGGGGACTTTAGCATTTTTTGGGTGCATGGGAAATCGGTGTACGAGGAGTTTGTTACTCTTTTTTTTCCTTCTTCCAGCTTGGACTGTTCAAACTTGGGGTTTGTGTTATCCAATAGGGTTGTGGGAAATGGGAACTTTCTTCTTCTTCTTCTTCTTCTTCTTCTTCTGGCATATACCATTTTTATCAGTGTGTCATTACTCTAGATAGATTAATCCTAACCAATCGTATCCTCTATTACTATGGTCCGTACAATACTAGATTTACAATCCCCAATCTCTTTCATTTTTGCTTGGGTTGTCAAAGAACCATCAACCTTGACTCTTTTGCTGGAGCAAATCTATTATTAACCCCAAGTGCAAACTTCAAAAGAAGAACACTTGAGCAAAGAAAGAGGAAGAAGTGAAAGAGAAACACGTGAAACGGTTTCGTAGTTTTTGGAAGCTTCGAAAGAAAGAAAAAAATAGATCAAGATCAGATAAAAAAAACTTGTCATTCTTTTCGCCTAGTCTTTGTTTCTCTTGTCATTCTTTTTTGTTTGTCCGGTGTAGTACTACCATACTTCTTCTTGGCCGCGACAAGCGACTACTAACCAAGTCCAAACGTCATACATGTATCACGTTTTGTTTCAATCATGTAGCGCCCCTTCCCCCCCCCCCCCTTCTTCCGATGAGATTGTGCATCGGACAATTTAGAAAAAAAAAAGCCCCCGGGGCATTGTGTTTCCTTGTTTTTGTCCCATGTGCATACATTCCTGCCGTGTAGATCATTTCCACATCGATTAGATTTTCCTATCCATTTTTTTTCTTAAATACGTAGGGATAGATTAGATACATTACAATACTTACTTGGCTGTCTAAGGAAAAAATGTATCAGCAGAGGTGGGATGGGTACTTTAAAGATTATTGATTGCTACGTCATGATATGGCGCTTTGGTGTGTTTGTCCGTCCGTTACATCCGGTCATCCGTCCGCCGGTAAATACGTACGATACCAGGTACTAGGTACCAGGTAACACACGTATGTAGACACGCGCCCTGCGCGGTATTGGCTTCTCCACACCCCAGGATCTATCATACCAGGATGTTGCTCTTTCCTTTGAGGACTCTCCGGGATATCGCGCTTGTTTAAAACACCCTAGTCGAGAGGAGGGGAGAAAAAAAAAAGTGGAAATGCGACGACGCCAAGCTCGTCGGTGAGGCGCATACGTGAGGCGCATACGTACTACGCATGTGCGTACATGTACATACATGAACATAGTAAATGGTCTGTTCAACCCGTGTACATGATGCGCCATGCAAAGTACAAGAAACCCACAATACCACCGAGCGCCAAATGCGCCAAACAGAACATGACCAATGCAGATGATCTCCAGCTCCAGCCACGTGGCTGGAAACAAATCAAGGAGAGAGAGAGGTATTGTTGAATGACATATGCAGAGAGTTGGTAAGGAAATAAAAAAGAGGCAGAAAACATTGCTCTTAATTGAGGAAATGCGAATAGTGACCTGGCACTCTTTGTCGGCATTTTTCGCAGTCGTCCCGATAGCCCATGCTGAAACGGCCCATGCCCGTTAGAGCACCACTTCGCTTCCTGCCGCGAGGTGTGTTGGGTGAAGCGGTCGTCGGTCGTGTCTCCGTGTCCATGGCATCAGTCGCGCTTGCTGGCGAGACACAGAGCCGTGACAGTTGCGACTGGGTTTGGGCGGTGGGCGTGTCGGGAATGTCGTCGTCTTCGGATATGGGCGAAGGCATGCGCCTACTTCGGTCTTCATCTAAACCTTGTTTGGGTCCTTTCCATGCTGGAGGCGGGGCGTGCATAGCCGGTACATGGATGCTATCGATATCCAATCCGCCGGCTGAGCCGCTTATCGGATAGCCTACACCGTTCATTCCTCCCCTCCTAAAACAAGGATGTATGGGTGTTGGTATGCGGCCATTGCTGGTTGCAGAATCCGAATTAAACAGTGAGGGTTGAAGCATGGGCGGTCGCATAAAGCTGCTGCCAAAGGAACTGAATGCAGGCGACTCTGGCGGCTGGCTCCGTGCATCTGCGTCGTCGTCCATGTCCATGTCATAATCCATTTTACTCGACTCTCTTGATGTGCAGAAAAAACCATCTTGAATAGAATCCGGTGAGTCCAGTATTCCATGATCTGACTGTACCGGTGTCATGGAACGGATGTCCGTAAACAGCCTAGGTGGAGAGGGTGTCTGAAAGGGTCGGTGGGGTAGAGTTGATTGTGATTGGAAATGAAATTGATCATTGTTTGTGTGATTTGCAAAGGCTGACCGTGATTTCTGGGCCCTACTGGTTAGCCAGAGTCAAGAGTTGGATGTATAGTAGGCTGACGTACCTTCGTATACCTGTCCTCGTCACAGTCGGAATCCTCGTCGACGTCTCGGTCGCGCTTCCGGTAGGTAGTCTGAAACATGGACATGGCGGCTCGTGCAAACAGGCGTTCTTGGGTAGTTATTTGAAGGTGCTGACGCGCCCAGCAGGATGTGGAAGTGGGGGAACGAGCAGACTTGGGCAGCGGACAAGGCGATGGAGGGGTATGTAAATGAGGATCCGGGGTGGCAGCCGAAGCGCCTGAAAATATGTTTTGAAGCAAGCAGGCGAGGGGCTGATACGGCTACCAGGGGCCGTCGCGGTGTTTCAGGCCGCATGAAAAGAACCCTGGTTTGTGTTGTGGAGTCGCGCGCCTCTCATGGCCTGGCGCTCGGGTGGAGGAGAGTCCTGTTTGGTCGTCGGGAAGTCGATGGCCCGTTGCCTGCATTGGCAGGCTCCTAGGCGAAGCAGCGATTCTGCAAAGGATGGTGTGGCGTAGCGTGGAGGAGTCGTGACCTCGGCTTGCAGGGTGAGGCCGACATGCAGCTGCCCGCTGGGCACCGCCTCATCACGTGGATCGTATTCTACAGAGTAGCATATGCATGAGAAAGGGGAGCTGAGGCGGAGGTGGTTTTGTTCGTCGCCGTGAAGCGCAGGTGGCGCATTCTTGTGTTTTTGCAAGGCAGCTGAACAGGCGCCGGCAGCTGTCCAAGGACTGTGTAGAGAGAAGTAGTCGGTGTGCGTGTGGACGGGACGAGTGCGGCTTCTCGGAGTCTTTGGGGGGGTAATGACAGGATGCTCTGCACTTACTTTGCCTTTTACATACATATACATGTGCCTACCTATACATGTATCTATATTTACCCACCATGTTTATATACATACTTCATGCCACACGTATGCTAGCATGTGTGCTTGTGTATACGGAGACGAGTGTCGTCGCAGCAGCCAACAGGACGACAGGCATTGCCATCTGTCGGGCCCGGGCTTGTTAGCGAGCGCATGCAGGGCGGTGTATCGATAACGCAACGCTAAATGGCAGCCAGAACGGACCATGCAAGCCCCCCGCCCTGCCAAAAAAAGTCTCACTCCACTTCACAATAATTTAGTACCAAATCTATGTCTGACTGTACGGCCAACGCGCCTTCAGCTTGACACGCGCCTACACATATCTTTTCGCCTAAAACCCCCACCAGCACTTGATCCTGCATCTACTGCTTACTTTGGCCCCCTCGGGCTGAATCAATTGACTCTACCTATTCACGCTATTTCGTACCAGAGCAACATATATAAACAACCCCGCCTCTGCGTCTCTGTGGCAGTTTACACCTCTCCTACCCTCCAATTGCCAGTCATCTAGCTGTTTGGTATGTTGAGTCAACACAACGACCATCTTTCTTGGACGTCTCAAAACATATGCTAACATTGAAAAGTACACAGCACTTTCGCTGCCTCTATATACACAGGCTCGTCCCGCGAACATGGCCTCCCACGACCAAACCACCAACGACGACGTGCGCGGTAAACACTCGCTTGACGACACCGTCTGCAAAACAAGGGCACTGACATTGCTGCGCAGTACTTGGTTACGACCCACTCATCCCTCCTCAACTCCTCGCCCAAGAGCTTCCCATCCCCGACCACGCCCAAAAGACGGTCATCCAAGGGCGCAAAGATGCTGCCAGCATCATCACACAAAAGGATGACCGACTCCTCGTCATGGTTGGACCCTGCTCGCTCCACGACCCAGAATTGGCCATCGAGTACTGCCAACGTCTCAAGGCCTTGGCCGACAAGCTTCAAGACAACCTCTGCATCATCATGCGCGCCTACCTCGAGAAGCCACGAACAACAGTCGGTTGGAAGGGCCTGATCAACGACCCAGACATTGACGAGACATACCAAATCAACAAGGGCCTTAGGGTCTCTCGCAAGCTCTTTGTTGACCTCACATCTGCGGGCATGCCCATCGCCTCGGAGATGCTCGACACCATCTCTCCACAGTTCCTTGCAGACCTCATCTCCCTTGGCGCCATTGGTGCCCGGACGACAGAATCCCAGCTCCACCGTGAACTGGCGTCTGGTCTCTCTTTCCCCATTGGCTTCAAGAACGGCACCGACGGAGGCTTGACAGTGGCTGTTGATGCTATCGGTGCTGCGGCAGCAAAACATCACTTCATGGGTGTTACCAAGCAGGGTCTGGCTGCCATTACCAGAACCGCCGGTAACGAGCACTGCTTCGTTATTCTGCGTGGTGGATCCAAGGGCACCAACTATGACAAGGATAGCATCAAGGCTGCCCGCGAAGCTTTGAGGAAGAAGGGTCTGCCCGAAGTCATGATGGTCGACTGCTCACACGGTATGTTTTGTCGACTCATTCTGAGCTTCTCAGTCAAAATTGGGACACGCCACTAACACACATACAGGTAACTCAAACAAGAATCACCGCAACCAGCCCCTTGTAGCAAAGGACATTGCTGACCAAATCCGCAACGGCGAGACTGGCATTGTCGGTGTCATGATTGAGTCCAACATCAACGAGGGTAACCAAAAGGTTCCACCCGAGGGCCCTAGCGGTCTTAAGAAGGGCGTCTCCATCACTGATGCTTGCATCGATTGGGATACCACTGTTGAGACGCTTGAGAACCTTGCTGCTGCTGTCGCGGAGAGACGGGCACACAAGACCAATGGCGCACAATAGAGTCTTTATCACGCATGATACTTTGTGTACGAAAAAGGGGATTGTGTAAGCGTACATGGTGGTATAGGGCGTTTTTTCATTTGCCCATGCTAAAATTTTATCAAATAGGAGTTTAAAAATGAAGAAAAAAAGATCTTGTCTCGGATAGACACGGCTATGGGGGTTCAATATTGCTATGAGGTTTACGAAATACACTTATGAACATAAACATATCTTTCTGTTTTCACTTTCGTTGTGGGCTTGATGCCAAAATATTTCAATGCTTGAAATCCAATCAGGGTATCATGAGTGACCATGTTATGTGAGCCATCGACACGCACACCTCGTTATTCATCCTAATCCCCATCCTCCTCGTCTTCTTCTTCCGCCCTCTCGTGCACTGTACTTCTCCTACTTCCCTCGTTACTCGTTCTCGCAGCCACCCTATCTGCTCTCTCGCCCACAAACACATCTCCTGTGCACTCTGTCCGGCACCTTGGACACTTTCTTTCTCGATCCCTTCTCCCCCTATAGTAGCTATTCGCACACACATCGTGCCACCTCACCCCGCACTCTTTGTTGTTGCACCGGATGCCGATTGTGACAATCTCCCTGCAACCCTCACAATCTCGGATGCGAATGATTTCTCGTCCATCTTCGTTTTCATCAGCAGACTCATTGTATGTCTCCTTGAGGTAGGCGCGGAGTTCCATAAGGGCCCGGGGAGCAAGTGAATAGTATCCTGCGCGGGACTTGTTGAAGAAGCCCTGTGCTATGAGGCTATCCAGCACGTTATCGGCTTCGGCAATGGAAATGCTCGTGTCTGCGCCTTGCAGTTGCGTATCCGGCGTTTCGCTGTCGAATTGCGTCGATGTACCGTTGAACTGGCTTTGTCTGTTGCGTCGCGATACACGGGCAAGTTGCGATGCTTCTGTATGTTTTACAGCCATTGTCTCGCGAACGCTGGTGTTCTTGGTTTCAAACATATGGTCCAGGAGACGCCGGATGTAAGCAATTTCGTTGGCCGAAAAGGTGGTTGCAAGCTGTGTGAGTGCGTCACTCGTGTTATTCACAAGTGCGTACACAACGTCTTTGCTTTGCTGGTCACGCATGGAGCGGATTTCATAGTCAAAGGTCTCAAGTTTGGCGTTGATGGTTTGGATTGTCGACGTCAGGTAAGGCTGCGTCACATCGCCTTCTGTCCATGGGCGGTTGGGGTCTGCGGGATACGTCAACATTTTGCAAAGCCCGCGTTTCGTGTGATAGCTTACTGTATGCCGTCATTATATGGGCTAGAATAGGCTTCATCTCCTCCACGGTGAGAACGCCGTTTGTATGAAAGGCCTGGAGAAATGCGCGGTGTATTGAATTGTAACACTCATCTTCTATGGGTGCGCGAACAAACGGTGATTCGCTTCGAGACATTTTTCTGAAGAATACAAGAGTCTAGATGCGGGGTTTGTGTTTAAGAGTTGATAGGCAATCAACGTACGCAAGGGTGGGGAAATTTGGCGACGCGAGAACGCGAAAGCACGTGAACAGATGATACTAGTACTACTACTACCCCAGATGTGTTCTAGCATTGAACATCATGTCATAGGCTGTCGCCACTGCAGAGCCTTTGATCCATGAACCAGCCTCTGAAATCAAACTTTGCAGCCAGAATAATTATACACGAGTGGGTTTCTTTATTGCACCATACTGAGCTTGAATGCAAGTTGCTTTACGCTCACATCTAACAATACTGTCTTACTCATCATTGCAGAAAAGCCAATTGGACACTGAACAGCGTTCACCCTTATACATGAATGCATCTAAAGACCCTAAAGTCCTATGTAGTCTAGTCGATCCCAACGCCTGTTCAGCCATCTAATGTTTTGCCCTAACTCTTGCGCCTACACATAATACAATATCCCGTCATCCCAGCATACGTGTATCCTCATTTCCGTAAATCCATGGTCTTCCCAGTCTTAGACTGGCAGGTCTGAGTTTCTTGTCGCTCCACTTATTGCCTGTAGAGCCTTTGCAATGTAGGGGCCAATGATCGGTACATTGCTAACAAATCCCGCAATGGTTGCGAGGAAATCGCCGAAAAGAACGAGAATCCCATAAAGCTCGACTATGAAGCCGACGAATGCCCAGCGCATGAGAATGAGCGATATACCGGCAATGAAGGCAAGGGTGCCTTTCCATTTTTGCTTGCGAGCGAAGAAGGCTACCGTTTTTGTTGTTCCGATGATGAGTGTAAGGCCAATTATAAAGAGTATCTGTTGGGGATGCGTTAGAGACGCTCGAGGCGGGAGGAGAGAGAGGAGAGAGGCATACGTTGCCCATTGCTAGCCTTTTCATATGTCAGTAAGACTCAAAGGTATGACTGACTTATACATACATGGCGCGATCAAAAAACATCATGACACCACCCATTAAAAAAAGTCCGCCTGTTCATCATGTCAACCTTGCGTCGCATAACAGGCGCATTTGCAAAAAAAATAGACGCATACCTACCTCCAGAGCAGAAGGCGACCCCAATCTCTATTCGGCATGTTAGAAGGCATCCAAACGAACAGTCCAAGGACTGAGGGGCTGCGCATCTTACTTTGGGTATCTGAAAGCCACATAGTCGGCATCCTGGATGTGTGTGATGGGTGTAATTCGCTACGTGCGAGGCGGTACAAGTAAGGAACGTCGAGGCAGGGTCGCAAGTCAAAGAAAAAGATGCGGGCAACAGAAGCGATATCTAGGCTCGAGGAATATCTGGCATGAAAGTGCTAACTCTGGTATGCCTGTTTCGTGTCCCCTCGGCGGAAGTTGAGACGCGGGCGCGCTGGACTGGTGGACCAACCAGCCTGAAGCTCACCCCTGCTAGCGCATTTGTTCCTGCGGGAGAGGGCATAAAATTCTGGCTGCATGCTCCTCGCACTCGAACGAACCATCTTCACCCCCCACGCTGGATGGATGCAAGTACCGGTACACATGAGCAATTGATGTATTGTTCTATTATGCTACCCACGTTACGCTACAAACACAATAATCAAAGTAGACATCGCCTTGACAACAGCGTGCTTCGAGCTGCTGTAACTAGGAATCCTCACGCGAGATCCTGGTATACTGTCTTATGGGCGTAGAGGAATGCTGGATCACGGTTAAGCCGGAGCACCTCCTTGAACCATGGGCCGAGAGGCTTGTGGTGGGTGGAGAGTAGCTTGACTTTGATGATCATACATATACACTGGGAGCTAGCCCATCTAGAAAGGTCCTATGGCTGAAGGCTCGCACAACATGGCCGGCATCATCCATCGTGAGTTGGTGCGCCATTTGCGAGAGTGTGGGTGTAACGCTACGCAATACAATGTTGATCTCACTCTGTCGAGTCAGCCAATTATTGCTGACCCTAAGCCGGCTATGTCGTACAACATGCTGGGCTGATGTGCTGCAAGCACCCCAGTGAGCGTGGAACTGCAGTAATTGTCGCATCGTTATACCCATCCCTCATTTCAAGACAGTGTGTGCGCCTCTTGCCGCGAGATAGCCTTCAGATACATTCTGCGGCATTGTCCTGATGCTGCCAAACACCTCCTTGTTGTGGTATCTCAGACGCGTCTTGGGATCCGTATATGGTGCAGGAAGGCCGGTAATGTCGCAGTACTTTTTCTGACTGCTTGGGTGGAAGCTCGGTGCAGACTCGATGTTTGTGTACGTGGGTGCAGGGCCGGCTGCATTTCCTCCCGCAGCTGCTCTGCCATTCTTCTCCAATACCAGCGTACTCAAGCTTTGAGCCGCCTGTGCAATGTTGGGCTGTCGGCCAGCGTTTCCAGTTGCATTGGTGCCTTCACTGGCGGCGGCGGGGGTTGAAATGCCACTGTTGTTCTGTGTGGCCATCACCGACGCCTCTTTCCGTGAAGCTTCGCCGAGGATCTGCTTGAGGTTCTTGTTGCGGCGCTGTGGTGGCTTCCAGTTGGGATTCCGGAAGGGCTTGGGGACTGCATAAATGTCGAGCTTGTCCAGGAGCGCTTGGTGCGTATTTTCGTCTGAAGCGGCTGTCAAGGGCGCCATAGTGTGTGGATCTGATGGTCAGGACGCGATAGTTGTGCTTGGCTATGTCGCGTTTGTTCGGCAGTGCCTGGTCGCGTCGCTCGCCTAGAGGCTTTGGGGGCTAATGTTGTGTGTGAGGTAGAAGAGCATACAGTTTCGGAACACGCGCTTCTCTGTTTCTGGCCACAGAGGGGTGAGAGATGGGTATCGTGTACGTGTAGGGATGAGGATGGCTGCGCTGAAAGACGGAGCTTGCGGAGGTGGAGCTCCTCCGAGGGACCTGCATGAGGTCGCTCACACTAGCTGTTTTGATCCTCCCCGCCAAACATCTCCAACGCGCGCGTACTCCATAGCAACGCAATACAGCCGTAGACATGGTGAGCTATGCGAGCATGCCTATTGTAGACAAATTGGGTATCTAACTGATTTGTAGGAAAGTCCCCATGAACACCAGCAAAGCCAACTGCTTTCGCGCATCATTGTCAATGTTGTTAGTCTACCCACGTCTTGGAGCAACAAGGCCCATAGTCATACTGATTATCGCAAAGGAGAAACTAAACGAGGCAATCATGATGTTGAACAAGAACCTCCAGGAGATCAACATCCAGAACATGGACACGGAGCTGGTGGCCCAGATGTTCAAGAACTACCAATCCAACGTGCTCTTCCACCTCGAAGGTACACAGGACATGGCCCGACGAGTGTTTACAGAGACGACTGACATCTTCTAGCAACAAACGGTCTTAAGGATCCTGCGTGAGCGGGAGCATGCGCAGCCTCTTATGTGTACATAGATTGTGTCCTCAACATGGAGTGGACGGCGGATGAGCTCAGTAGATAACCCATGTACGCATCGAAGTAGGATCGCAACTGAAGTCACCAGGTGCCTAAATAATGAGATACGATAGTACTACAACTCTTGACGCAGATGCATTGTCCAGTGGGCCTAGACAATGCACATATCCAAGCAGCATGCGGAGACGGGCCCGGACCACCGAGCACCAGTCCCCAGAGAGCCTCACGACGTGACAACCACCATGTCGCGCAAACAATCACGCTAACCACTCACACAATACACACACGCCCCACGCTCCTCCAGCTGCGACATGATCTAGACACCACCCATACAGCTTCAGCACATCTCCCACTCGACGCAGACATGGCTCCCTCGGCCATTGACGAGGCGCCTCAACCCGCCGGGCGCAATCCACCCAAGCCTCCACCAAAGCTATGGAGCGTGTCAGAGCCCCCTTTTGAGGGCTTTCGGCCTGTTGATCACGAAGGCTGGTCGCGTAGCAACAGCGAGACGGCCATAGTCATCGACAATGGTACTATTCACGCATCCACCGTCGCCTTCTTGTCGCTGTACAAGCTGACGCATTGCAGGCTCCTCAGCAGTTCGCGCCGGATGGTCCTTTGACTCGAAGCCGCGATTTTCAGTGCTCCCCAACATGGCCAGGTATCGCGATCGCAAGTTGAACCGCACCTTCACCTTCATCGGAGCAGACGTCTACGCGGACGGCACGGCGCGAGGACAATCCAAGCCCGTCTACGAACCTGGCAGCAACATCATCAACAACTGGGACGTCATGGAGGGCGTGCTGGACTACTGCTTTGTCAAGATGGGTGTCGACGGTCAATCGGGGCGCATAGAACGGCCCGTTGTCATGACCGAGCCTATCGCCAACCTGGGCTATTCAAGAAAGAGTATGTGAGCCTGTGCAGGAAGGAGCCTTTTGCTCTTGTGTTGCAGCTTGCTAATCTTGTATTCCACAGCTATGTCTGAGATCCTGTTCGAGTGCTACGGTGCACCCTCGGTCGCATATGGAATCGACTCGCTCTTCTCCTACGCTTACAACGGTGGTCGCAGCGGCCTAGTCATGGATTCTTCATACACTTCCACACACGTTATTCCCGTTGTCAACTCAAAACCTCTACTATCGCAAACAACGCGACTCAACTGGGGTCGCTTCCAGTCCGCGCAATACTTACTGAAGCTTCTGAGGCTAAAGTATCCCACCTTTCCTGGCAAGATCAGTGACAATCAGGCCGAGGATCTTGTCCGCGAGCACTGCTATGTATCGCAAGATTACGAGAATGAACTGAGCCACTATCTTGACTGGACAGGCCTCGAAGACCGAGATCACACAATTCAGTTCCCCTACACAGAGCAGATTGTAGTGCAGAAGACGGAAGAAGAACTAGCTGCCGCTGCTGAAAAGCGCAAGGAAAGTGGCCGAAGATTACAGGCTCAGGCCGCCAAAATGCGTCTGGAGAAATTGAAGAAGAAAGAGGAAGAGCTTGAGTGGTGCTTACAGTTGCAGGCACAGCTTGAAGAGATTACTACGAAAAAGGAAAAGGCCCGTGTACTTGAGTCCAATGACTTTGACGACGAGAACCAACTCAATAAAAGAGTCAAAGAACTAGAGTTCGCCATCAAGAAGGCCAGGAACAAGGATCTCGGTGAGGTAGAAGAGGAGCAGGCCGAAGCACCTACTTTCCCTCTCCTTGACGTTCCAGATGATCAGCTAGATGAGGAAGGAATCAAGCAAAAGCGGCAGCAACGGTTGATGAAGTCCAACTACGACGCCCGTCAACGCGCAAAGATAGAAAAGGAAAAGGAAAAGGCGCGATTGGCAGAGGAGCAGCGCCTTGATGACCAACGGCGAGAAGAGGATCCTCAAGGCTGGATTGAGGAGCGCAGGATAGCACGACAAGCCATTATCCAGAAGATCAAGGACCGTGAGCGATTAAAGGCCGAACTCGGAAACCGCAAATCTCTCGCCAACCAAATGCGCATGAAGTCCATTGCGAACCTTGCATCTGACACCCCGACCAAGAAAAGACGGCGTGGCGGCGGCGACGACGACACATTTGGTGCCGATGATGCTGACTGGGGCGTTTACCGCACCATTGCAACAGGTGAAGGTTCTGACGATGAGGAGGAAGAGGATCTCTCCAAGAACCTCAAAGAGATAGAGTCTCAACTCCTCAAGCATGATCCTGACTTTACGGAAGAGTCAACACGTGAAGCGCAGACTGATTGGACCAAGAGCATACTTCATGCTTTCCTGCATGGCCCCTACTCGTTTGATCCAGAGTCACAAAAGGAAATCAACCAGATCCATCTTAACGTCGAACGCATCCGCGTCCCGGAAGTTGTCTTCCAACCTACAATTGCTGGCCTAGACCAAGCCGGCATCGTTGAGATCGCATCCAACATCCTTACCGAGCGCTTAGGCGATTCTCCCTACCGTGATGACGTCTTGAAAGACATTTTCCTTACGGGTGGTAATACCATGTTCCAGGGCTTTGAGGAGCGTCTTAGAGCCGAACTGAGAGCTGTTTTACCGGCGGAGCAGACAATCAATGTACGAAAGGCGGATGATTGTGTGCTGGATGCTTGGAAGGGAGCTGCACAGTGGGCTGCGAAGAAAGAATCGAAACGCAATTTCATTACCAGAGAGGAGTTTTTGGAGAAAGGAGCAGAGTACATCAAAGAGCATGATCAGGGTAACGCGGCTTACTAGGTGATTGCAATATTGTGTTTCCCTTGTTTTTTTTATGTTGAGCTTTGGTTCTCTTGTAGTCTAACATTAATGGCGGGTACATGGCGTATTCTTCTACTATGATGGAATTCGCCGATTGAGGTCTCTGATCCTTTGACACGATAACAGCTGGTGTCGAGAAACTAAAGACAACGCACAACATCACTTCCATTGACATTGCGATTGCCAATGCAGGTCTTGTCGGGCCAACCCTTGGTCTCGCAAATACTCCCTCGTCTCAGCTCCAGCCATTCATTGATGTCAACGCATACGGTCCCTTTGAGCTGTTCAGGGCCGTTCTACCTCTTCTTCGCGCTTCTACTGCCGAACCATGTCTTTGTTTACTTTTTCGCCAGTGGTCGAAGTTGCGAGTGCACTGCAAAAATCGGTAAGTATGGTTGGCATGACGACCATTGAAGAAAGCATGAAGGAAGTTCGGAAGAAATTGGGCTGACAGGGAAAACCAAAATAGATTGCTGCTGCGACCGAGAGCTCAAGTGGACAGTTTCTGTCGAAAGAAGGCACCCAGATGCCGTGGTAAGAAAAAAAGGACGGGTTATGATTGCTACATGACAAGACAGGGAAGCGTAGACAGAATCTTCGATTCTTAGACATTGGATTCGGTGTTCTCGTGAAATTAAGCGTAGACAATAGAATCACCGCTGCGTCTCAATTGCTGCTGCTGTCCCCTCTACTGCGCCGTCTGACTACTTACCATGGCTTTTTATAATCACCTACATGAAGGATTAAGCTTGCCATTTCCAGGACACCATTTTTTCCTTGCAAGAACCTCCCCCTCCCCCATCAACGAAACTAGGTAATCTACTCATCGTTCACTTTTCCAAGTGGCGGCAGCCATGTGATGATGCGCTGGATATCTCTAATCTCATAGAAACACTCGTGGTGCTCTTTGGCATACCGAATAGCACGCGAATTATCGTCTGTTGCATCTGTGGCAGGATCCGGCTGATTGGCAAGAAGCCTCTCGTAGTATGGATTGCAGTATTCTAGGAAGCGACGGGGATGTTCTGTCATATATTCCCTGTATCGGTGAGCTAGAGCATATGGGTCTTTGCCTAGTGGAAGTGGCTTTGTCATAATATTGCAGATGGTGATGATGGCTATGTACGAACGGGATATGAGAGACTGCGTTGCTGGCTACCTCTTTGGACATTTTGATGATGTCGCGACAAAGGAGGAATGTCTTTGTTGTTGATGGGATGGTGAATATGGGTACTTTGAGACTCTGGATCTACTAGTTTCTTTCAGACTTGAAACGATACGCTGCCCGGAAGGATCAAGCCTATTATGCCGATGTATTTCCTTGATGGTACTACTCTCCTATCATCAAGTCTCGGAGAGCAATCGAGCTGGAAGGGAAGGGAAGGGAAGGGAAGAGAGGAAGACAGTTAGAGATCACAGTAAGTCCCGGGCCTCTCGATATCAATTATTGTATTCCATAGAGTGGATGGATTTTCAGGTTCTTGAGCAATGACATTGCCCATAAATGTCGTTGAGTGACAACGACGACAAAAGCGACATGGAACAGTAGCCATCTGTGTTCGTGACCCTCGCCCACGGCCGCTCGTGCCAAAAGTGGATCCTGGGCAAGCTAGTGTTCGCGCTTGGGTAAGTGGGGCTTAGCGCAGAGGCTAAGAGTCTGGCAAAAATTGAGCTTCCGAACAATTTCTCGAACACCACTTCAACATGTCGCCGAAGTCGTACGTTTGTTCCATCCAAGTCGTCATGTCAACACTAATCAGAGGACTGCAGAACCGTTCCAACGCAGAGTGACATTACGCTTGTGCCTGAGAACCTTCTCAAGAAGAGAAAGTCTCAAGAGAAGGCTCGCGAGGAGCGCGCAATCGCAACCCGGGAGAAGAGAGGTACGATCTATCTCGCATGCCATGACAGACTGCAAGAGGCCGATTACGATGATTATAACAACCACACTATCGGCTAGACTCCGGTCAATGTTGTCGAATTGTTAACCATCTTTCGGGAATGAGAACACGGTCGTCTTGGAGTCTCATGGCGTGCTATCCAGTCGTGAGGCAATGCTGACGCGGGACAGACAAGAACAAGAAGAAGCGCGAGGTCATCTTCACAAGAGCCGAGAAGTATGTCAAAGAATACCGTGATGCCGAGAGAGAGCGCATAAGGCTGTCACGCGAGGCCAAGAAGAGCGAGAGTCTCTACGTGCCCGAAGAGCCAAAGCTTGCCTTTGTCGTGCGCATCAAGGGTATCAACAAGATCGATCCCAAGAAGCGCAAGACATTGCAGCTTCTGCGGCTGCTCCAGATCAACAATGGCGTCTTCATCAAGCTTACCAAGGCTACCATGGAGATGTTGAAGATTGTTGAGCCGTTTGTTGCCTATGGTTACCCGAACCAAAAGTCTGTCCGTGAGCTGATCTACAGTAAGAGCGACGCCCTCTCAGCCTCGAGGAATGATGTCAGTACTGACGTGATTTGCAGAGCGTGGTTATGGCAAGGTTGATAAGCAACGGATTCCTTTGACTGACAACGAGATCATCGAGGAGAATCTTGGCAAATACGGCATGATCTGTATGGAAGATCTGATCCACGAGATCTGCACGGTCGGCCCCAACTTCAAGGCGGCGTCCAACTTCCTGTGGCCGTTCAAGCTCAACAGCCCGACGGGCGGCTTCCGCAAGAGGAAGTTTAAGCACTACATTGAGGGCGGTGACCTGGGCAACCGGGAAGAGAAGATCAACGAGCTGATCAGGCAGATGAACTAGTGCAGTGATTTGTGATTTGTCTTTGTTCAAGGGTTGGCGCGCAAAAAGCTGGTCGGATATACCACGGGATGGAGCATTTACATTGGCGTTTTGGGACACTTTGACGGAAATGGACGGCACGGTCCCCTCTGATGAGTCTAAGTAGTAGTTGAGTAGTGGGGTGCAAGGCAGCACAGCATTTTGAATGCATATGATGAGGCAATCTTGATCTTGTGCCATGCCTTGTTGGACAAGGGACGTGGTGAATGGGGGCTTGAGGATAGAGTTTATGTAAGTAGTAGCATGTGGTCTTGTGCTTTGTGGTGGTGGTGGTGGTGGTGGCTTTTTGTCTGGTCGCCCTGGTTGATGGCAGGACGGAGGTCAGTGCCTGTGCCTGTGCCGCCCACGGCCGAAGAGGTGCAGCAGACGGGCGCGAGGGTTCGAGTGGACATTTTGAAATGCGATGCAGGCGTGTCGAGCAGGGCAAGGCAGCCGCCCGTGAAACACGGGCGCAAGGAGACGTGGTGTTGGCGGGGGGTGGCCACTAGGAGCGGCCAGGTGCCGCTCGTGATGTTTGGGTGCAGCAGCAAGGCAAGGAAGAAGGGCTGGGGGCGCCAGGCCGCGCAGCAAGCAGGCGGGCAGCAGGCGGGCAGCAGGCGCTGGCCGTCTTTCACGTGCCTTGGGGGCGCGGGGCTAGGCCCAAACGGGCCAGGAGGAGAGTGACAGGCTGGCTAGCCAATCGACTAAGGGCTGCCGCATGTTCCATGAGGTTTTTTCCTTGTACTTAGCTGCCCACCCTCACCGCACCCAGCGGCCGGCGTCATATTGAGGGCAATCTCGTCGACAAGGCTCCAAACAAGATGCAAATTGACGCCACGTCAGGCGGCCGCAGTGGCCCACGGGGCCCGCGCGGCCGCCCTGTGCGACCCAGGCGAATCGTGTCGTGCCTGAAGCCACCCATCCCATTGCCGTGCCATGGGCGAGCAGCAAGCAGCGAGCGTCACCAAGCCAAAGGCGATTGAGCGGCCGGCAGCCAATGGCCAGCGGCACAGGGGCTGGCCGTCCGAGGTGCTGGGTGGAGCAGCTGGCCGGCCTCGAACACACTCACATGCATCCCAAGAGCACAGGGTGGGCACTTGCTTATGCAATTCCACCGAGCCCAGAACGGCGTGCCGAGCGCTTGGGCGTGTCCGACTGACGATTGCAATTGCACACGCTGTGCGTGGTGAGGAGGCCGACGCCGAGGCGGTAGCTGTACCTGTAGGGTTGATGACGCCTATCCATGCCCATCTGCATCCCAGCCCGCTTTCGCCGCCGACGTTGTCACCGCCACCGTGGTGTTCGGGCTTGGGGATCGATGTGCAAAGGTCACGCTGATCGCACCTGCTGCCTTTGCGCCTATGTACTTGCGCTGCACTGCATTTCGCGCAGCATCCGAGTAGCGGTAGTAGTAGTATAGTCAGTCATAGGTCATAGGCCATGGGCCCCGCTCGCCGACACCTAAACGTCTGACGCTTCCGTGAGCCACCTGTCGTGGGAGGCAGCAGCTCAACGGCCGCGGCGGCACAATTTTTTTTTCACGCATGGCGAACGGGCCCAAGGTGACGGTGGTGGATATCGCCATCAGGCTGCGATTCGTGGGCTTTGCGTCTTGATGCCCACCACCACCACTACTACTACCACCACCCCCAAAGCAAAGAAGAGAAGCGCCAGGACACACAGGCTCCTGCTGCGTGCCGCAACCACGGCCTTCGGCTCATGTCTGTTGCTCCTGCTCCTGCTCCTGCTGATGCAGCCGCCAATATGGCCCCCCCCTACCCTAATTTTGGACGCATATTAAACAATGAGGCACTCGAGCACAGTCGCAATGCCACGCGCTCGTCTGGCGGCGGCTGTTCGCTGCTTGGATTGCTGGCCCTCTCTCCTCAGGCCTCTCCAGGCGCAGCGGCCCAGTCAGCCCGCTACTGCAGGCGTGCCGAAAAGAGGGCGGAAGGCCGGATTGCACGAGGAGAGGCGGGCGATACGTGGCTCGCTGTGGTCGCAGGCGCAGACGGCGGTCCCTGGCGGCGTTCATTGGCTTGGGGGGTCTTGGAGGTGCATTCGCTCGTTCCAATGCGTGCACAACCACTGCAGCGCTCCTGCGTCAGGAGTCATGAGCGGTAGTCACCGCAAGCCGTGGGCGGAGGGGGAGGCATGATGACCCACTAAACCGCAAGAGGCAGAGTTTTCATAGCACATGAGTGGGCACACACACATGTAATGAACCGTTGTTGCAGGCGCACCCTTCGGATGGAGACGGGCGTCCTCCTACGTGCAAGGCCCCTTCGCGGTTGCCAGGCCTCGCTAACTGCCCTCGACACACCACCCACCCATCACCGCTTTCTGCCCTGTCCTGCCCCGTCCCATCTCCCCCCATCTCCCCCTCCCCTCCACCATCCCTCCCTCTCTCCCTCGTCCTCCTCGTCCTCGTCACCCTCCTCGTCCTCGACCACCCCCTCCCATCTCCTCACGTCTCGTCTTCGCAGGCGTTGCTCGTTGCAACACAGTGACCCCAGCCAAGCGGACGTGCGCATCAAATCTCGGCTGTCACGGCACCCCCAAGCCGCTCAGCAACTTGACCCGACGCTTGCTCTGTCTCCAGGCCTAGCCCACCCGCAAACCATCAGTGTACTGCCACTCTTGGCTCGACTCGTCTGTCTGGCCCAGACAAGACAAATCCCGGCTGCAGTCTCTGACATCAAGCGCCTCGCCGCCTGCCTATTCCTCTCCCTCACACGCACACCCAGTGTGCAATCTTCGCCTCTGGTTTTGGCTTGCGCTGCGTAATTGGGCCCGGCTCGGTTTCAATCTCTGCTCCCTCCGCGCCATCCACCACAACATCCCCGACCCCAGCAACGTCGTCCTGCCCTCCCGACCACGCATCGCCGGATCTATTGACTTAGCCCCGGCTTGCTCTTGATCAACTGCCAGTTGCCCGCTGTCTGTCGACGCACACTCGGCCGCTTTCATCTCATCTTGCCCTTTTCCGCTCGACGCCTGCACGCACGCACACACGCACGTACGCACGTACGCGCCGCGCAACAAGCAGTGCCAAACATCCTCAACACACACACAACAACAAACCCTCCTCGCAGGCGACAAATTTTCCTTGAATGAGCACATCTTGCTAGAGGGTCCGTAGGCTACTCTAGAGGCGGCGCCAACGAGAAGACTGTACGTCACAGCCAACAAATCTTTCCAGCACCCCTACGACGCGCCACGCCACGCCTCACTTGTCGCTACTAGAAGCCCTTCACTAACACAGTGCCAGGAGCCTTGCCAGTCTTCTCTCTGCGACGGTCCGACACCATCATGCCTTCCTTCTACCCCCGGCATAACATGCCACGGCTCTCTCCGCCAGAGTTCGTGCCCAGCTATCACTCTGCGTGCGGTGCATCATACCCACCGCAACAGCCTGCTTATGCTGGTCCTACGATCCGCCAACAAGATGATGGTTACGACTTCGCAGACCGCTACAGCCAACTGGCCATCGCCATGCCACCCATGTACCCGCAGGCCGGCACCTACCTAAGCACTGCGCCCCCCAGCCTTCCTCCCGCCAACTCGTTCTACGACCCCATGGGTGCCACTCTTCCCCCGATGCGCATGCAGTCTGGAAACTCAATGGCGGATGCCGCAATTCAGCAACAACAGCAGCGCCTGCACGAGTACAACCAGCGCGTGAGTCAGCAGGCTAAGGAAGAAAAGCCCGTTGGTGGCGTCTCAGCCAAGTTGGACTATGATATGGAGGTCATGACCGATTTCGTATGCGACACAGCCCTGCGCCTCATTACCCCCGGTCGAATGATGCCTTCCACTTTCCGAAAATGGGTGCACCAAGTCCTTTGTGCCACGAGGCTTCCCTCGGCAACCATCCTGCTCAGCATATTCTATCTGTCCAACAGGATGCCGATGCTGGCTCACGAGCCAAAGACGGATACCCATTTGTTCCGCCTGCTTACCATTGCGCTGGTGCTTGGTAGCAAGTTCTTGGATGACAACACCTTCATCAACCGTTCTTGGTCAGAGGTCAGCGGTATCCAGGTTCATGAGCTGAACGAGCTCGAGTTGGAGTGGCTCCTCGCCATCAAGTTCAAGCTTCATCGCGACCCCGCGGAGCAACAGGGCTGGACCTCTTGGTCTGAGCACTGGAAGGAGTACCAAAAGACTGCTGCTGCCCGCGCAGACCGCACCAGCAAGCTGAGTCCCATTGACACCACGATGCACCGACGCTCATTCAACTCCAACAAGCCGCTTCCTCCTCTGCCGATGCAGCAGGCTTACACTCCATCGTATGACTATGCGCCCAAGTCTGCACACTACAACCCTCCGTCCTATTCCCAGTACGATCCATGGAGGTCCGCAAGCGAACATTCCCCTGCATCTGCACCTACCACGGGTCCCACCACTCCCGAGTACTATGGCGCAACGGGCACTTGGGCTCCCGTTGAGGGATATTCGCGTCGCACCATGTTCGGCTTCCCACCCTTGTCTCAGCCCGCCCCTGTACAGGCGTCCCAGCAGTCGTCCAACTATGGCCCACCAGCCTACTCACAGTACACGCCTTCTGCGTGGAACCAGCATGGCCTGAGTTGTGGATGTGCCTACTGTGTCCAAAGACATCCGCCATACTTCATGGCTCCCGGCTATGGCCCCCAGGCTGTCGCCGTCTAAAGCTGGCCTCGATGAGCTGGACATTATCTCGACGCAGTCTTGTTGACTTTCCATGGATACACATTCGTCGTCCTATTTTCAGCGCTTCCTTTGTTCAAAAAGTTTTCTGCTCATTTACACAAAGTACCCCGGCTTACCGAAGCCACCACCCGGATCATCCAGTCTCGGCCACTGGATACATTTGGTCGCTTCGATTCCTTCAAGCCTAGACTACCGGACCCTCCGACGGCGTAACTGCCTTATTCCCTAAGCTATATTTGCACGCATATTGGCGCCACTCCGGATCTTACGAAAACGCATCAGGCTTGCAATTATTTTGCACCATAGATTTCACAGTTGTCGTCTGCTTTTTTTTCCCCCTCCTTTTCCTTCCGCTCTTTCTTATCATGGGTATTACGTTTTAGACTTTGGTTTGTCCATGGTCTGATAGGAGCATGTCAGCGAAATTGTGGGTTCTCGGCGTTAATGTTTTATCACCTGGTGTGCTACCTTGCACTTTTACGATTGTTCATTTCCTCAGCGCTTCCTCCAAGAATATGCACGGGAGGGCTTCTTTAGCCATTGGTTCATGGTTGTTTCTTCTTTGGGGAAGGCTGGCGCTTCCAGGGCGTCAAGTCACTCCTCGCACTCCATACGTTGGCGGCTACCAACGGATCTGCCATTACTGGAGGGCTGCTTATCACGTTCATGAATGTTCTTTTTTCTTCCTTCTTCAACTGTCGCCTTCCGCTGTAGTCGGGTTGTAATTAATGGCACAAGAATGGCGATAAGGAATTCGCTTTATTCTCTTCGGGGTGGTGGGAACAAAATACCTCTCGCTTTTTTACGGGCTTTTCCGAGCCTGTGCATTATTTTGGACAAACGGAGGAAGTATTATTTTGGGCTTTTTCTTGCTTTTTTTTCCTTTCTTTCTTTAGTGTACTACTGTTATACATTGAAAGATCCTGATACCCCGGGACACAACAGAATGCGAAAAAAAAAAAATCCTAGAAAAGCGACGAAGTCGCAAAAGGAAAACATGACTTTTCTCGGGCTCCAACTGTGGATAGTGATGGAGTGTTTTCTCTTTGCTTGTGTATGATTAGGTGGTTTGGGAGTATGAGGACATGAGTTGGGCTTTAAACATATCTTTGTTGGCTGGCAGAGCAGGGTGTTAGAAGACACCGACTTTGTCTCGTAACTAGAAGACTAGTCAAGTGTATGCAATTTAACCTGAGTTGTTTTCATCTCGGCATACCATGTGCGAAGTGTGGATTCCATAGCTGTACATAGATTCTCCGTAAGTGTATGAGAGCGGAGCGTGAGAAGTAGTAGTCGGCATTGATGCGACAAGGTTCTATGCTGGCGCGACAGCCGCTTTGCTCACATGCAAGACATACACACCTTGAATTAATGGTGCATGCGTCCAAACCTTATGGCTGACCTCAGCACTACCCAAAGAGGACAGAATCCGGTACGATACGTATGTATTAGAGGTCCATGTCTCTCTTCATGCTGACGGGTTTGCATGGACGGACGAACTACTCCCCGAAACCGCCGCGGACAGGCAGCAGTGCGCTATGCACGAGGCTGACCAACACACAAACCCTACCCATTCCGTCCCTCGATTCGAGCTGAAAACAGTGAACAAAGGATCGCGCAACCCTATGCCAATCTGTCCGAACACGGATTCCCTGTTGATGGCGAGAGCAACCGGCGAGTGGATTGGGTGGGCCTATAGCAATGTGCTGCGCAACGCTAGCCATATACATGGCTCGGTTATCTCACTACGTCAACCATGCTAACTCCGTTATGCCGCGTTTCTTGCAGTCTTACCGCCAACTCTGGAGAGCCAGAAGACCGTGGAGTGTGATCTTCTTCGTCCACCTGTAAAAAGAACACGCGTGTCTGAGTCTTTGCGTGCGTGTGCATGTGCATAGCCAGTCACAGCCGCAGCAGTTGGTGAGACCGAGCCTAACGCTGTATAAGTATACACACACGTATATACTATGCAATGCCTTCCCTGGTTTCGCTTTTTTCTCGTCGCTTGAGACTACAGCTAAACGAAGCGCGACTTACACAGTACCAACGCAAAGCTCGGCGCTACCAGTGTTTCTTGCAAGCACCGCAGTTTAGTACGACAATCAAGATGAGTTCGATCGGAGGCGCAACTATCGGTGCTGGGCTGTATGCTGCAGTGAGCAATCCAGCGCAGATTGCTGCCACACCCGAGGACGCAGCGGACAAGAGACATCACTTGAAGAACGGCAAGGGATTTACCAATCCGTGGGACAGCTATGTCCATGCCACTCCGTGGCAATTGCTGACGGGCCTGGGTTGGTAAGGGCTCCTGTTTCCTCGTTATTCATGTTTCTTTGCAAACAAACGTCTATGCAGAAATCATAGTCTGACGTACCCATCTAGGCGCAAAATCACTGGTCAAGGAAACGTCCCAGACACCACGCCACCTACCGTCCCCGTTCACACTGCGTCTTTCCTCCCTACTCGCGAAACACCCAAATTACGCGCAACCTGGCTCGGTCATGCATGCTATTACGTCGAGTTTCCCAGTGGGTTCCGTGTACTTTTTGATCCAGTCTTCGAAGACTGCTGCGCGCCCGTCAACATCAAGAGTCTAAAGCGGTTCACGCCTCCTCCTTGCGAAATAGAAGATATACCCGTTGTAGACGCCGTCGTTATCAGTCACAATCACTATGATCACCTTAGTTACCCGACCATCCAACGGCTGCACAAAAAGTTTCCTGAGGCACATTATTTTGCGCCCTTGGGCAACAAGGAGTGGTTTCTTAAGAGCGGCGTGACCAAAGTGACCGAGTTGGACTGGTGGGAGACTAGAGACGTGCAATTGCAAGAAAAGAATGACGCCGTATCTGTTGTTCCGAGTGGCAATACAGATGCGGACAAGAACGTGAGCGGTAGTAGCGTCATCACCGCGACTATTGGGGCACTGCCTTGTCAGCATGTCAGTGCCAGAGGTCCCTTTGACAAATGCAAGACCCTCTGGGCAAGCTGGAGCGTCGAGTCTGGTGGTTCAAAAGTATATTTTGCCGGGTATGTTCTACGAACGATATTCTCCCCCACCTTTTGTGCCTTTTCCTCTCTCTCTCTCTCCCCATTCAAACAAACTAATTTACTGACGGGCAAACCTTTTCTCTTCCAGTGATACTGGCTACCGAACCGTTCCCAAAGGCATCCCCGCAACAGAAGACGACTACTCGGCCGCATACTCACATCTCCCTACGTGTCCGGCCTTTGCGCAAATCGGTAAACACAGAGGCCCCTTTGATCTTGGCCTCATTCCCATTGGCGCATACGAACCTCGCTGGGCCTTCAGTAATGTCCATGCAAATCCCAAAGACGCAGTCAACATCTTCATTGACACTCGCTGTGTAAGGGCGCTCGGCATGCACTGGGGAACTTGGGTGTTGACAGAGGAAGAGGTTATGGCGCCGCCAAAAGAGCTCAAGGAAGCATGTGAATGGAAGGGTATTGAGCATGGTAGAAACGGCTTTGGCATTTGCGATATTGGAGAGTCGTGCGAGTTTGAAAGTGGAGCAAGTCCGGAAAAGAAATAAAGGTTTGACTGGGTGTGCGGTTTGCGGAAACGGTTATTTTTCAACTTTCTTTCTGATACCCGGGATTCGGTTGCTGTGTTTTGTTCGGGCTGTTGAGCAAATGGGGACGTATACATGAACCAGCTCTATTGCATTCTGGATCCTCACAATTGTTGTTTTGTACAGCTGATGCGTACATAGTTGTACTAAACTCCGGCCATGTGATTCCTATTGCTCCAAAACATGTACAATCATGTGGGCTTGCAGACAAACCTATGATATCCCACCAATTTCCTGGAAATCTTAGTATATCTCCTACATCTCTTCACCAAAGCTAGAGTTTAAATAATAACCACAGATTTTCCAGTCACGCGTTATCATGGGGTTGAATACTGTATGTTTATGCAACGTCACGAGGAGGAGGTGTAGTTGAGCAACACGAAGAGGTGAGATGGAGATTGAAGCAAGTAGATAAACGTTAGGATTCTCTTTGGTGTATAGCGTGTTGACGATCAGCATCTATCATTGTTTCATATATAAATATTTGTGAGGCATCTAATGTTAGGCCAAGTAAGTAATTTGATTGGAGTTCGCTGAAGAGATTGGTAAATTTTATGCCATGATACAGGAGAAATAGTATGATTGTTGAATATTTCTATAAATAGACAAAGTCCTGGATATTCTAGCGAAACATACTAGACTAGAGAATACATGCGTACTTTAGTCACTTTGCTATGCACTACTGTATGTTACAACAACACGGCACGCTCTCCAAGACGCCGCCCGCCACAAAAGCGATAGCACGTACTACCCTCCGCCCCTCGGCAATGCTTCTCGAGCATCTGAACCCCTGGTACCGCCCACCCTCTGAATTCGACCCAGCATCCTTAGCCGCCCTCTCGTTCCAAGCGCCTGTCAAGCTCCTGCTCCACCACACCTACCAGTTCCTCAGCTACCTGCACTCAACGCCCAAGCCTCTCCAGGAACTACCCATACGCGTTGTTTGCATATCGGATACGCACAGTCAAATCCCAGACAATGTCCCCGATGGCGACGTGCTCATCCACGCTGGCGACATGACCAACGACGGGAGCGTGGCCGAGATACAAAAGCAGATTGATTGGTTGAGTGCGCTGCCGCACAAGGAAATCGTAGTGATAAGCGGGAACCACGACACGTTTCTCGATCCGAGGGTGCGGGCTTCGCTGCCGGAAGAGCAGCGACGAGACGCGTTGGACTGGAAGAGAGTGCACTACTTGCAGCACCGACGCGTTAGTCTCACAATCAGGGCCCAGCCTGTGCATGGTGACGATGCTGCCATGAGTGTCAACACGCCGTTGCTGGCTGCGGATCGATGCCAGAGACGCATACGTATATATGGCGCGCCGCAAATACCCGCCTGTGGCCCTATGAATATTCACGCGTTCCAGTACGAGCGGGGTCAAGATGCTTGGTCGGAGACTGTGCCTGAGGACATAGATATTCTGGTTACGCATACACCACCGAAATTCTACCGCGACCTTTCGTTGCCAGTAGGCCTGGGCTGCGAGCACCTGCTGGCCGAGGTTCAACGTGTGAAGCCTGCTCTACACGTCTTTGGTCACGTACACTGGGGAGCTGGACAGACAGTCGTCTGGTGGGACAAAGCACATGACGCCTACGTGCAAGGGCTATCGATCCAGTCCAAATGGACTCGTGGGCTGCTGAACCCAACACTGTGGTGGAATGTCGTAAGGGTTATTTACCGCGGCATAAGGGAACTACTATGGGATCGGGTATGGGGAGGCCAAAGCCCCAATACTATCATGGTCAACGCAGCCCAGATGCATGGAAACACAGGGCGTCTGGCCAACTCCATCCAAGTCGTCGACATCTAATGTTGCCTATCACGGTATACCAGTACAAGTCGTAATCGTAATGTATAGATGAACACCTTTTTTGATCAACACAGCAATAGCACTTCATTGTCGGGAAGCCTTTTCAAACTAAAAAGGATTCTGTTGATTTAGCTCGACTATCTCTCACACGAGAAGCCAAGTTCAACATGGAGACCAGGCAGATTCGCCGTTCCCCGCGACTTTATTGTGGTCATGAAACCATAAATCGTGCAAACCATGCCATGCCATATTCCACCACTGAGAGCCATTTTTGCGCATACGCTCAGAGACGACGACCACGACGACCACCCTTTCTCCTGGTCGAGTCGGATGGGGTAGGTGTAACGTCCTCGATACGTCCGATGCGCATGCCAGCACGGGCAAGAGCGCGGAGAGCGGACTGGGCACCGGGGCCGGGGGTCTTGGTGCCGTTACCACCAGTAGCTCGGATCTTGACGTGGAGAGCGGTGATTCCGAGTTCTGCAAGTTGTTAGTCTGTGCAAAAGAAACCCCTCAACATGCCTGGCTTACCCTTGCAGCGAGCAGCGACATCCTGAGCTGCCAACATGGCGGCGTAGGGAGAGCTCTCGTCACGGTCGGCCTTGACCTTCATGCCCTGTTGTACCTGATCAGCGACCATCGCATAACGTGAGTGCGTGTGGGCGCACTTACACCGGTGACACGGGAGATGGTTTCGCGGCCAGACAGATCGGTGATGTGGACGAAGGTGTCGTTGAACGAGGCGAAGATACGGGCAACGCCGAAGACAAGCTCACCCTACAAGATGGTCAATTCATGCTGCTGTTTCCAATTGATTCGCGCTGACAAACCTCGCGGACCTGGGGTCCGAGCTGGATGTTCTCCTGAGGAGCGCGGGCAACCTTCTGCTTGGGAGGCATTTTGGCGGTAATTAAGATCTGGGCGTGACTGGCGGGTTCGTGATGCTGTCGGCAACTGCAAAGACGAACTTTCTGGTGGGTGGAAATCGCTTGTGTGCGGAGGAACGTAACGCCGCTGCTAGCGCGCCAAGACCGCAACCTAACTTTTCTCTATCCGCCGTGCGACGCCTGCAGTTCTTGCCTTTACTTTTCGCCATGGGCTGATCACCAACACCGCACCCACGCATAGGAGCGTGCGACACCACTGCAACCATGCAAGACGGCAAGAGTGTTGGCCTCATTGGCATGGGCGACATGGGCAAGATGTATGCTCGACGCCTGAGCAGCGCTGGATGGAAGTGAGTAGTGCATTCGCGCGTGCCATAGTCCAAGCTCGACTGGTTCTGCAATTGGTAAGTCATGACCTCTTTTACTCCCCTCTCCCCCTGTCATGATGACCGTGAGTGCATTTGGCTCGAGTACGGCGTCGTGTCCGCGCTGTTGCCGTCTTGGCTTTCAGCATCTGGCCACGGCGTCGTCCATGATGTGAATTCTCGCTACCTAACTTTATACAACTCTGAACTACACCAACTCCAATCCGCTTAGTTCATACTTGTCGCGCCAACTTTGCTAACCAGTTGCTCACAGACTGCTGCCTCGATCAGCTTTGCTAATACGATGCCTCTCAAGGGTCCACGCTTGCGACCTCCCGGACAAGTTTGATTCATTAGTAGAAGAGTTCAAGGACTTTGTAGGATAGCACTTTTTTATATAAACTCGATGAATGAAACCATGCTGAGATTGTGCCAGACCAGAGTGGAAATCATGCAAAACGGCCATCTCGTGTCTCGATGCAGCGACTTCATCATTTACAGCGTTGAGGCCAAGAATATCGATGCGGTCGTGAAGGCCTTCGGTCCTTGTATGCCGATGCTCCTGCTACTGACAACGTCCAAAACTGACCCGTCTTGCGCATAGCTACCAAGGTTGGCGCCATAGTAGGCGGGCAAACGTCATGCAAGACCCCAGAAATGGATGCTTTTAATAAGCACCTTCCCAAGGATGTCAGCATCGTCTCCGTGCACTCCCTCCATGGGCCCGGTATAGATCCGAAAGGCCAACCGTTGGTGTTGATCAAGTACCGCGCCTCGGACGATGAATTTGCTTTTGTGGAGAATATCATGTCCTGCCTTGGCTCCAAGCATGTCTACCTCAGTGCTGAGCAACACGATCGCATCACAGCGGACACGCAAGCAGTAACACACGCCGCCTTTTTGAGTATGGGTGGCGCATGGTATGCCAACAACCAGTACCCGTGGGACAGCTCCCGTTACGTTGGCGGTATCGAAAATGTCAAGATGAACATCACTCTCCGCATCTATTCCAACAAGTGGCACGTCTATGCTGGACTGGCAATTCTTAATCCGGATGCGAAGAGGCAGATCAAACAGTATGCTGAATCAGTCACTGAGCTGTTCAAGCTTATGCTCGCTGGGCAGCGGGATGAACTACGCGAACGTGTCCATGCTGCGCGTAAAGCTGTATTTGGCGACAATGCAAGCGGCAAGAAGCTATTGCTCCGGGACGACCTGCTTGATCAGTTCGCCCTGGGCACAATTCCAGAGAAGAAGCTAAAAAACAATCACCTAAGCTTGCTCGCCATGGTAGACTGTTGGTGGAAGCTGGGCATAGTACCCTATGACCACATGATTTGCTCCACGCCGGTAAGAAACAGCTTTTTTTTGTGAAACTTGACAAAACATGCTTGGAATTTCCTTGGTTTATTGACGACTGCTTTCTAGCCCTCGCGCATGTGGCTCGGCATCACCGAGTATCTCTTCTGCAACTCTGCTCTACTCGAAGAAGCCATTGAGACGGCCATTGACGACAACACATTCCGCGCCGATGACCTTGAATTTACTTTCGCAGCCAGAGATTGGAGCTCGCGTATTACCCTAGGCAACTTTGATGGCTACAGGGATAAGTTTGAGCAGATTCAAAAGTACTTTGAGCCCAGGTTTCCTGAGGCAACTAAGCTGGGCAATGAGATGATCAAGGTTATCCTGCAGAAGACGCAAGATAGTTGAGCATGGTGGGGGATGCCTATGTTAGGTGTTCTGCAGCTGATTTTGATGGATAATATTGTCTTCGGAATGATTCATACTATGTATGTCTTTTGACACTGTAGCCCTTTTGCTTTCATCCTTGTGCTCTGGCTTTATTTTCTATTCTTCAATTTGTTGAACCCTTTTCATTCCTTACATTTCGTTGATGTAGGAACTTAGACAATGTAGTTACTATTTTAGCTACATATTACAATTGCTCTATAGATGGGTTTTTATACCTCGCTCAGCCCAATAAACCGAGCTCCCCAAAGCACTTCTTAGACCCAAGCACTCTGCCACGTCGCTCACGATAACAAGTTAGCTAGTAGAGATAGAAGTACATATATAGGAAATAATATACAACTAAAGTATATCTTCTCTTAGTCCTAGCATGAAGCTATAGCTACACTGCTTCTAGGGACTCTTTCTTGCGATCTCCTACGCCTTGTTGAAAGTTAGCTTTTCTACTACATGGCTGAATTCTTCACTCCAGAGAGGCCCCTTCCGATAGCAAAATTGACCTTTCTCCATGCACTCAGCATACCCCGCAAACCACCCCATTACAAACCTTTTCGCTTCTGGCCCACCTCCAAACGCCTCGTAAAGAAGCTCTATCCCCAGTATTTCACTCACTTCCCCACTACCAACCTTTTCTAGGCTATCATATACGTCTTCAAACTGAACTCCCATATTCTTTTCTGCCAATGGAACAATCTCATTTCAAGTTCAATCATCGTCCGCAATAAAGTACCGTTTCTGCCATATCTCTCGCAGTTTAGCCAAAAGCAGCAACACGTACTTGTCAGTTAAGGATGTATATGTAAACGACACTTGGAAAATTCCAGAGCCTGGAATTGCAGCATATTCAGCGGTTAGGGAGACCTTAAGTAACAAAACTATTACGTATATAGGGAGTAGAAGGTAATAGTCCATAAAATCGCCTAAGTAGATTACTGCAAATTCTAGAGACGTTTTGCTGAGCGCTTCGGTGATTCTTTTGTATCCTACCACGTGCGCAGCGAGGAAAGGGTTTTTAGAGTGTCTAATCAACGAAGTAACTAGCTATAATGCTTATAGAAACTAGAAGGAAAGACTTTAAGCTTACTCGTCGGTGAAGGGCAACCCGCTGAATAAGCTGGGTATGAATCTCTTCATAGTACTCGAGCGTTCAGCAGCTTCAATAAGATTCAACTCTCCCACGGAACCCCAAGGGCCATTAGAGATTAATATCACAGCTAAAACTTTATTTTCTTCAAGCAAAGTCTTGAATAAGTCGGCATCGGAGTAGTTGTTAGTATTAAGAACGAGAATAGAATTTTCCTCTTCAAATTTTGGGTTTGCCTATATACTCGAACCTAGATGAGTATAGGAGCTTGAAGCCCAATTAACCCTAGTTACTCTAGGATCTTGAGCGTCTTATGTCTCCTAAAACTAGTAAGGATTAGTACACGCTGTGTCCTATTAGCACGTTCCTTAGTCTTAGGATTAGATACACGTTTAAGCCACTATAGCTAATATCAGAGTCTGTATATTGTAGCTATGTTACAACTGCTAAGTATCGGACCCGTCCTAGAGCCGAACCGGAGGAAATATCCGCCGCCCCCTCCAGTAGTCGTTTGTTCTTGTGGTCGGATCTAACCTAGATCCCACCAAGACAGGTATATAGAGATACCTCTTGCAGCTAGCTCTGCAAACTTTTCATATCCTTTCGTACAATGCCTTTAGGGGTCTATTTGAACTAAGGCCTATTTATTGTCCCACGCACTCCCATAACAGTAACTACTGCCAATACTAATCCGACTAGTCTTGCCTAGGCTGTTACAAGTAGCACCCGGATTCTATGGACAGCCCGACATCCCATTGAGGACTTATCCAAAGGGCCTTCAGCTCGTCATAGCAGTGAGGCTTAAGAACAGTTGGCTGTACCATCATCAAATGGATAACAGCCTGTAAAGGCATTAACAATTGTAAACCTAGATTTAGAATAAAATACATACCATTATTGTTAACCTTGCAAGGATTGCTCTAGATTAATGCTATTAGTATCAGAATATGTAGAAGAAAGCTTGATCTTACAGAACGGCAGGGGTGTGCTAGTAACCCTACGCCAGCATCATTGACGCACAATCCGTATGGATTATGGGCACGCGCGTACGCATCATTCCTAAAAGTCGGATCATCCAAGTTTTTACAGTTCTAGACTCGACCAATTAGTATTCATTACTTCGGAAGGCAAGATAATCTTATATACCCAATTGCCTTGTGCAACTGTTAAAGACAGCAGAGAGGTAATTGTAACAACAATACGAACATGCATATTGAATATAAGGTAGCAAACTGATAATTGTCGACTTTACAAGGGAATAGAGAGGAGCTCTTTAAATATAACTTGTGAGATTAGGGATATTAATTTCGGTCTTATTAACACTATATAATCGTAAAGTCTAATAGCCGATCGCTATATAACATTAATCACACTATACCTATTACACTAAGTTTAATACGATATAGGGCCGTCTGTCAGATTGTTACGATCCATTATTAGCAACAGAGAAAACTGCTTACTAGTAATCAGTTTCGAGGATCCGAAGGATGCACCGCGCCGCAATCCTGCGCAACCGTGCC